CAATATCTAATTCCTCAAATATTCTAGAATCCAAGTCTTAATAAGCCAAATCAAAGTTACAAGTCAATTCAGTCTGTCGAATTGAGTCTTGAAAGGGTTTATTAAAGTTACAAGTCAAATTCAAAAGACTATTCACAAGGGAATATTCAGATAAGTATATATTTTATTCAAGTGATAGTGGAATAATTTATGAGATGAAAAAGGTTATCAAAAGTTATCTGAAGAGTTCTGCTTTATTGCTTGGTTCAGTTAGTCTTTAAATACATTTTAGATTTTGGAAGTGTTTACACGACTACGGAAGCGACTACACCACCACTGGGATGCTTACACCCCCATTCCTTAGTCATTCTCGTGTGATTATGCAAGTGGGCCACAGCAACAGGTTCAAACGGCTGTGTTTGCACCCCACCTCGGGTAACAGTCATATGATTAAGCTACCAAGCCAATCCATCATTACCATTTTAGTATGAATTATTCAAAAGAAAATTAATAAATTTGCCAAAATTGGAAAATTGGGCATTGTTACCAAAATGGATGGGGTATTTACTAATAAACTATGTACATGCGGCAAAGTTACCGGCTAAAATATGGATGTATAACAAAAATAAAGAAATTAAAATTTTAATCCGTTACACTATTCTTGTATTAGTTCAAGAGCTTTGCCACATTTGCACATGGGTTCGTGTTTTTACGTTGTCTACTCATTAGAAGTTAAGAGCCAAATGGGACCCAGAAAACTAAGATCTTGCCGAGTATAAATATAAAATTTCAAAGCGTAATGTATTTTATACAAGTTATGTTATGTCTACGAAAGCTCAATTTTCAATAGTAAATTAAATAAAACAGCCAATCAACGTGAGATTTGCAATAATCACATCCGCAAGATGAACCAGAAGGTCGTTATTACCGAGCAATTGTGTTTATGATTATTAGTTTTGAGCTTTTCGCCAGGTTTCGGCTATCATCATGTTTCGGAAGTTCGATGTCTATCAAAAGAAAAGATACAGTCAAAAAAATTATTCATTTAATTACTGATGAAATGTCAGAATGAGTCAAAAGATCGTTATTACCAAACGATTGATTTTGGTGGTTATTAGTTTCGAGCCTTTCGTCAGGTTTCAGTTATCGGAAGTTTCGATATTCGCCTGACCAACACTTTCGGTTTAGAACGAGACTGTTAAAGATTTCATTATAATAGTGATTTGAAAAAGAAACATTAAATTAGTGTTGTAGTGTCGTAGAGTGAAATCTATAGTGTTGCAGAGTGAAAACTGTAACTGATTATTAAGTGAAATTACAAATTTTCATTCTGCAGCACTCAAATAAAATAGATGCTTGAATAAATAACAAAAATAATAAAAACTTAGCTTGCAATACGGAGTGCGGGAAAGGTCTACTATTTATAATTTAGAAGCTGGAATGTTAAAGAAACAAACGTGGTTTCTGATTGCTTTTCTTTTCTTGAAACAACCGCCGTTCTATTACCTTATTTAGCCAGCTTGATTTTATTTTTCATGTCGATGTCGTTTGTCTTAATTCTATATTTAAAATAAAAATGATATTTACTATACTATTTTACCTTTTAGTTTTTATCCACATATAGAATCTCAAGTAAAATGAACAAGCATTAACGGAAAAGCCAAAGAGTCACCGCCCAAATGGCCGTCATGAAGCTCTTTGGAGAAGAATGAACTCAGTTTGCTCACCGCCCAAATGGCCGTCATGAACCTACTGGCCTTTTCATTACAATGACATGCATCATAAATGACAAGCGAGTCACCGCCCAAATGGCCGTCGCGACTAGCTGAGCAAAGTTCACCTCCCAGAGACTCGCCGCCAATGGCCGTCATGAAATTCTCTGTCAGTTTCCACCTTAAGACGTCACGAAGTAATCTCTCATTTTACTTATGGCCAATTTAACGAGTGTATCTGAAATAAAAAAATGATATTTAATATATTACTGTTAATAATATTCATTAAAAATAAATTTTTTACCTTTTAGTTTTATACACAAATGGAGGTTAAAGTAAAATGAACAGGCAGTAACGGAAAGCCAAAGTGCCCCATGGCCGCCATGAAGCTCTTCGGAGAAGAATGAACTCAGTTTGCTCACCGCCCAAATGGCCGTCATGAACATACTGGGCCTCTTCCGACCTAACTTAAGTAAAGTTCACCTTCCAGAGACTCGCAGCCAAATGGCCGTCACGAAATTCTCTGTCATTTTCCACCTTAAGACTCTCATTTTACTTTATGGCCGATTGTGATACTGGTAACGCGAGAAATAGATCTGCAATTGGAAAATTCTTTTTAATTCTATGGAGCAAAATTTGCACCGATCATTGTTTTTTAAAGCACCAGGGATCCCTAGACTCAACAAGTGAGACCGTCCCAAATTAGGGTCATCTAAAGGGTTTGGCGCGAGTAACACAAACCAAAAAGGAAATAGAATTTTGTAAATAAACTAAGTGCGTAAAGATAACAGGGGTGAACGTCCCAAATATGG